GCTCCCGCTCGCGCTCCCAGCGCTGCTGCTCCAGCCGCAGCTGGCCCTGCAGCTTCTGCACGCCCGCCAGCTCCTCGCGCTGCTTCTCGAAGTTACGCTGCCGCTCCTGCTCCAGCAGCAGGTTCCCGCGCGTGGACTGCAGCCGGAACTGCTTCTCGCGCTCCTGCATGGCGGCCCTCTGCATCTCCACGTAGCTGTCCTGCTGGGCGATGACCGCCTGGGGCAAGGGAGGACCGGCGAGGGGCCGGTTTTGGAAGAGCCTGGTGGTCCCCAGATCCCAACCTCCACCCGGAAAAGGGCACGTGCGGCTCATCACGCTCCCCGGAGGCCCAGTACCTGGAGGTCGAGGAGCAGCTGGGACAGCGTCTGGATCCGCTGGACAAGCTGTGGAGAGAGGGAGAGGGACGCCGGCTCCCTGCACGAAGCCCTGCAGGGCGGGCGTGCCGGCCCTGGGCAGACACACAGCCCGAGCTTACCTCCGACTCCAGGACTGCAGGCAGCCGGGGGCCAGGCTCTGTCCCAGGTCCCTCCGCCTGTGGAGACAGCATCAATGCACAAAGGGCTTCTAAGGACCCATCCAGCCGGAGTCGGGCCCGCTTCTTATCGGTAAGACGTCCCCTTAGCATGGGACAGGCCCTGCTTGGTGACCTGACTTGTGTCAGTCTGGGTGTCTGGAAGATGAGGGCACAGGGTGGCCCCTGGGAGGTGCAGCAGGGCTGGCGCAGGCCCACCGTGTAGGAGGCTTAGAGGGACACAGGCCTCAGAGGTGGCCAGACCCTGACCCTGACGCTTGGTCAGAGCGAGCCTCCTGAGTCCAAGGGGAGGGAGCAGCTCGTGATGTCGCCACTGTGGGCACGAGGATGCCTGTGCAGACCGAGAGCTGGTGGCCCCCATACAGGGCCTCTCACCCGTTGCTGAGGCCACGGCTGCTGCCCTGAGCCCACCCCTCCCCGCCTCTCTCCTGGGCCCCTCCTGCCCCGCCCGTCCCGGCCCGTCCCTGCCCTTCCTGGGGCCTGTAGGGAAGGGTCACCTGCCAGGAGGTCGATCTGCACATTAACTACCATTCACCATAAAACGGGGTGGTGCCGGTCGCTATTTGCCCCAAGACA